AACCAAACGCTACCGTGGTCGCGAAACGAAAAAACGCCTCATGTCTCCATGGTTCTCTCCTGTGTGCTCCTGTGTCTCTTTACTCTTTGTTCTAACCCAACTTTCCACCTTTGGCGAGCAGAGTACTGGACACGCTTGTTGATTTCTCGTCATCATGGACGTTGACAAGTCGATACTGTTGCAGAAACAGGTGCGGGATAATTCCGAGGACTTGCAGAGGGAATTCCTGGACTTGGGAAATTGGGAGGCGCAGATGAAACGCAAGGAGCTGGAGATACTGAATGAGCGCAATGAACAGGTATTCTGAGATAATGCTGAGAAATAAAAATAATAATACGAGTTTATCAATCTCGGGACTTTGAGAAGAGAAAGATTTAAATATGAAGAATGCTAAATGTAGCATCAGAAAGATGTTAATATGTAGCATTTTAAATAATTACAAAGAAAATCGTTTATCGATTTGAATACGTGAATTTGCTGATGTAATTCCACGTGTAAGAAAACTGCGTTATGTCCGAAAAAAGGACATCGGCGCGTAGAACCAATGTGGAAAGAAACGGCCCATACAGCACCGAAGCTTTCAGAAACATTGCAACATTGCGACAATGTTTTCCGAAATGTTTCTGAAAGCTTTGGTCCTGTATGGGCGTATATAGATTCACGATTTTCGGGGAAAATATAAGATTCACAAGTTGGGCTACCTACATCCTGCCTTGTGACCTAACTGGCGTGTTCTCGCATGTTGTTTAGTTTTAGATAGGGGTCTTACTTGAAAGTTTGTTATTAAATATAAACGTTAGGTTTCGAGAAACGTAATGCCGTTGGTTTAAACGTCGGCTGTCTCGGTGTTTTTTATTTATTTAACTTGTTAAATAGTGATACGTGTTATACATTCCAGCATGATGTACCGCCAGTCAGAAGCAAGACTAAGAAGAAATCTGTAGCGAAGGAGGACAAAATATATCCAGAATGCAAACGGTTAAAACCGGATGAGTTGTGTGATAAGTTTGTTGATGTAAGTGATGTTATTTACATTAAGTTACGCAAGCTCTCGAAGCTCGTGTCTCAAGGCTTGAAATATATTTATGATTGCAAATTACACAGAGGGAAATATGCAAGGAAAAATCGGACAAGTCGGAGATGGGACCCTTGTCCAGAGAAGAATTGGAGAACAACCACACCAAAGCCCTGGAGTACAAGCAGCAGGGCAATGATTTCGTGAAACAAAAGAAGTGGGACGAAGCGATCGCCTCGTATGGCAAGGCGATAAAAATTTTCCCTTACGACGCTATCTTTTATGCTAATCGCGCGCTATGTTATATGAAACAAGACAAGTAACTTTTGCATCTTAAGAGTATAATAAACGAATCACATTCATTTCTATTACATGTAACAGCTGCTAAATGTTGCCACGTTGCAGCTTGTATGCGGCAGAGGCGGACTGCTCGTCCGCCATACAACTGGACAATACTTACATGAAAGCTTATCACAGACGAGTGATGGCCAGACTAGGATTGGACCAATACAAAGAGGCAGAAGAAGACATAAACAAGATTTTACATTTAGAAGATCCCTGTAGCAAAGAAACCAAGTTCTTGCTTCGTCAAATCAAGAAGCAGTTTGGAACCGTATGTATCCTTTATTATTATTGAGTTAACTTGATATTTATGACATTGTACATTATCTTAATTGTAGATGGTTATAGCTGAGACAAACGTATGTGCAACTGACATATCTGATCGTGACAAGTCAAATCAAAAAGTAATTTATGCTAAGAAGGATAAAGATGATGAGAGAGGCACAGATGGAGATAATACTGTAAAATCATCAACCCCAAGCGTAACAGAACCAGAGAAAGATCAGT